GGCGCTGCTCTAGAATTTGCCTTGGGGAAATCAATTAACGTCCGGGCGGCTTCCTTTTCCTCTGCCATCTCCTCTTCGGGGACATTTGTGGTTGCCTGTGAGATCGGGGTGTCGTGGGAGCATGTCTCTTCGTCTTCCACTAGCCTCACCGGCGCATTGAATTCCTGAGCTTGCATCTGGGATGTTTGTGGCCCTTGCACCTGATAAGTTTGTACGCCGTTCTTATGATCCATTTCCCGAGTTATTGTTTTGACGAGCTCGTCAAGGACCAGGGAGTACCCATTTGGTCTACCCCCGAAATTTACGGCAGTTGTTACTCTCTGAGGCTCCCCTGGAAACTTGAACTTCTTGAGCTTCTCCTTCGTCCTATATAGCAGGTTCGATGCTGAGTTCTCTAGCAGACCACTCACTTCTAACCGTATAAAGAATGGCTGCCCATCGTGTTGGAAAGCAAATGCTGTATGGAATGTATTGGCATGCTTTGGTTGGCGTTCTAGATCGCTTTCAGACAAGTCCCATCTTAAAGTCGTTGCTTGTCCACTGCTATCCGGTAGCGCCTGGCTCGAAAACATCCATTGGCTTTCTTGGATTTTTCGTGTGCTTGACTCGTGGCCTACACCTCCAACCTCAGCGAAGCCGCCGGCGCTGAAAGTGGGCATGAAGCTCAGAGTACTAGACTTTTCCGCTGTCCTTGGTTTGCCTAATATTTTTTTAAGGCCGTGCTCAGTGACATGTACTAGTAGCTTAGGTTTTGCATTGCTGCTGTGTGGGAAAATGTGTTGAAGCCCTTTGTCGTACTCATCAAGAGTCAATATGACGGTCGCGCCTCGAAGATAGCACCCTGGCGGCTCCGTGAAAACAAGATCCAAATACAAAATTCCCCCTGGGTTCTCACGTTGAGTCAGGACACCCCAGCGTGAGACCTCGAACAAAAATTTGCATGCTACTTCTACCTTCCCAATTTCCCCTTTTCCTAGGAAATGCGAGCTGCTTCGAATGGGGAGGAATTTCTCAGAGTCGTATTTTCCGAATCTACGACCCGATTGCAAGCGCCATTTTGATACCGTGCTGCTAGTATATACTGGATGGGGATTAGACTCCACCGCCATGGTAAGTGACGACCAACAGTCTTCAGATGTTTGCAAATTGTGCAAGAGAAACTAGGCGGATAGGAAATGTTTTATCGTGATGTGCAGCATCGCTCCGGTGGAAGAGAACCTAATTTATCCGGGCCGGTTCTGTGAAGTAGTAGCTTGCAATGGACAAGAAGGTTCTGGCAAAGAACCCATCTTCATCCACCCAATCAATACGCCATTAGTACCATGGTGTGCAGATGCACACAGCAGCACCCAGGGTATTGCCAGTCCTCTCAGTTTAATGATTGGCTGTAGGTACTTTGTACAGCACCTCCAAAAGTAGTAAATACTGGCCACATATGCAGGCAAATGTGCTGCGTGGCAGTTTCTGGATGGACTTGGCCCTATCAAACTTCAAGCGCTGAGAGCCTGCATAAGAGGCGTATCTCGCAAATCCACGCATTGAGGAGCCAAGAACTAGTGGGCAATGCCGGGGCGCCCTCCGTAAGCTAATGTATTACACTATTGTCAAACTTCGATCCAAGAAGGCGTCAACCATCAGCCCCATCATTCCATTCAACATCGGTCTTCCTGTTTGAACGAGCATGTCGAAGCTGCGCCCGAAATTAGCCTAATTAGCTTGAGTAAAGCGTGTCACGAAAATCAAGGAGTGGGAGCCTGATCAGATAGAGCCTATCGAATATTCACTAATCGCCATCGAGGAGGAACTTAGAAACCGATATGTAGCACAAGACAAGCGAGATAAGACTATGGCCCGACAGCAGTTTGACGCAATTTGGGACCCAGCCAAAGCCGTGACTTGACGGTTCACTTGAACATGGATGTTCATGAAGATTTCACGGACTCACTTGAAGAAACTTGCTTCTTCCAGCGGCTTGGTGACTTCAACTCAGCCCAAAGGTGCTTTGAAGAAAATCTGGGAAGCCATATCCATGTTCATCCGTATGTGTTTACACAATACGGGGAGATGCTACTGGAACAAGGTGACTATGTAGGCATATCGAAGCTTGGTGCTCTCAAACAAAATCAACTGGGCGCACAGGAAAAAGAACGTGACGGAATGCGGTTGCTTAATGACTACTGGGATCTAATATCATTCGTTGCTGAGTGTCATTACATTCCTCGTTACCCGAGGGACTTTACCCTAAACAAGGAGACGTTGCAGCTTTTACAAAAGAGTGTGATGGATAACGGACAAGAGATTACATCGACAGAGGTAAGTTCACTTTCTAATATCGGAATACAGAAACTCACGCATATCTAGATTAAGTACATGGCTCTCTTATACTACCTTCGTGGTTTATGGCATCCCAAAGTAGCCGGGACGGAATTGGCTATGACTATGCACAGTTTATTTCATTCCCCTTTTCATCAAAAGCTTTATCAGTCACTCGTACGAGAGGGAAGGATTTGGGATCTAAGGGATATTGTGGTAGCGAGGATGGCCACTGAATCACCGTGGGCGATCAGTGCAGCTTGGAGCACAAATTCGGATTTCAGCGCTCGTCTCCATGTCTTGCTCGCAGAATGGACTAACTCGAGTGCTGAACATGACACGCCCTCTCTACTCGCTCTTCTATAGATCATCACGTCCTTAGTATGCTGGGAAGAATATAGTGACATAGCTCCAGATACACTTACGGTAGCCACACGAATTGCGCGTTCAATCATCGACCACGATCCGGAAGCGATGAAGACTAGGCCGTTTATTCAATGGATGCTTGTACAATGCGAAAGTGCCGAGCTAGGAAGCCGTCATCAATTACAGCGCCAGGAAGATCATCTGGATGTTTTACCAGGCATACTATTCCGGCGAACCCGTCGGAATCTCGTCCAGTATGCGCCCTACAAGACTGAAACACCAGGCTGGGTTTGCGAAGAAAGTCCGTTTGAGTTACAAAATTCAATGAGAATGGCGCTAAGGACTTCTATTAGCCTGGGCGACTATCGGACTCAGGCCAAAACTTTACAGCTGTTAATTCTCATGTCGGCTAACCCTGTTAAGGAGTTCGAAGAACTTGGAAACCTACAGCATCTGTCTCAAGGTGACAACTACAATCTTACGGAAACCCTTGCGGCGAAATATGTAGTGTCGAATGATGATACATCGAAACAGAAACTGAGAGATGAAATAGCGAGTCAATGGTCTAACCCGGGGTTTTCAAATGGCCTTAGTGCATATCAGCTTTGGATTCTGGCGAAGATACGGTACGCTCTAGCACGCGATGATACAGAAGCCGACCGTGCTCTGAGAGAGGCCGACGCTTGGTTCGAAGCCTCGCCTTCCAAGTTTGTCGAGTATGTCAATAGGAAGATGCCAACTCAACGAGACGTTCGGCGGGGAAGCAAGGAAGCACGACATATAAAATTGGAGCCGACTGAAATGCGAAGTAATAAGAGAAATACCATCTTTAATCCTATCTCAGAGCCGGGCCAGCAGTCTACGCCCGGATGGTATGGAAAACAAGTAATTGAGAACTCGAGGGCAGAAGCTAGTGTCGGTGAACGGGAATTAACTAGGGAAAGTCGAAGCCATGGGAGAACCGTGACCAACATCGTTATCACGGACAGCCGGAGTAAGAGGAACTCCAAGCGAAACGCAAAAGATCTTTCCAGGCAAGATTCTTATCGTCAAGTTACTTCATACCCACAGCATTCGCGATTAGTTTCTACTTATCGTGACAGCCGAGGGCTTAACATGGGGTACGAGACATTGCCGGATGCCAGGAATATTGCACGTGGTAGGGAAGACTATATGTTAAATGTATGTGATACGTACTAACGACTTTTAGCGAGGGAGAGGTCGCGTGAAGAAGAGAGAGAGCGTCTCGGGAGACCTGGTTACTTCGAAGTCAGCGAGCGTCGACAGCAGCCTCCGGCTGTCCAAGAATCCAAGCCGGAGAATTCACAACCAGGATCGAAGCCATTAACGACGAACGAACCGGCTAGTCAAAATCTGCGGAATAAGTTTGGGGGCCCAGGCACTACGGGGAACGAATCAGCGCAAGATGATGTTCAAGTAGAACAGCAAATATCAAATGTGGCACCTGCCAGACCTGGCCGTCCATATGCTTTGATACCGGAAAGAGGTATGGAAATCGATAACCTAAAGCCTATATTCGGGGAAAGAAATCTAACACAGAATTGCAGGCGAACACCACGCACGCCATGATATCAGAGGTGAAGATAAAGATAAAACAAATCACGAAGAATCTGTCAGCCCAGGACGTCCGGAACCCAGGGCGTCCGTTGATGCTGGAAGCCAAACGAACTTCGATGCGACTGAACCTTTGTCAAAAGGCAAGTGTTCGCAAAACCGCTAGGACAACGGGTATTTGACTGATACATTTTCAACACGTAGAGGGTACTGTGAAAAAATCCGAGGAAACCGTTGAAATAAGAGAGCAGCGTATGCTGTGTGCCGCGTGAGAAATAATCAACTGGACTGAAGGTGAACCAGCTCAGACTTATTGAGTCTCAAGGCATAGCAGGCGCGGCGTTGGTTGGCAACTTGATAGGGGGACAGTGTCTACTTCATTTACACCTCACAGTGGATTCCATGTTACTTAACTTTCTTTCCTCTACAACAACAGTATCCATCCTCAATTGCTACAGAGGGAAGGACGAGAGTAGGGGTACTGACCATGCGGAGCCTCAATAATAAGCTATTTTTTCCTTTCCTTATATTCTGTCGCAGTCAAATTAGTAAATGTGATTACAGCTGCTATTTGTTGCCAGTTGAAAGAGCTGCCGACATCACAGCCATGTACAAACTATTAGATACACACTGTGCAATGCACCCCCTCCCCCGCCTTGCCTATATCGGCCAAACCCTTGTCAATTAGAGGCGATTGCTGCCTAATTCCAAGACAATTCCGGATCTAAACGATTCTAGAAGCATTAGCTAACTTGGCCGAGTGGTTAAGGCGCCAGACTTAAGTGGATCCTATTGAAGGATATCTAGAGTTCTGGTAACGTAAGTTGCGTGAGTTCGAACCTCACAGTTAGCACTACAATATCTTTTTTTCCTTTTTTTTTGTTTTTTTTGGCCTGCTTTAGCATTGCGCGTGTTAGATTCTAGATTGAGCCTGAGCACCCAGAGAGGGATGTCCAGGATATTGCTGGCGGTACGTTCGGGGAAGAGGTTAAATGATGCTCGGGATTAATTCCACAAAAGCCTGTTTTCTATTTAATACAGTGCGCCTGTTAGCGGCACCTGTTTTGTATGAAATCGCTAGCTTTTCAGAGGATGTGAAAGGAGATATAATTCTTAACCTCTTGTTTTCCTTTTCTATTATAGGCGTGGTACTTCGCCGATGGTTACACGTCTATTTATTATCTTTCACTCTAATCCCAGGTTGGCTATATAAGTTGGTATCGATCTATTCTATTGACTCCTCTATCCCGTTCAGGGTATCGGAAGAGCACCTCACTCGGCCTTTCTACTCTCCTTGATGAAATCTGCCGCTCTCTCAGCGACGGCGTACACAGTCGTCTGGATATTCCCGAGCGGCTCGAGGGGAATCATACTCGCGTCGACGATGCGGAGATTCGACGTCCCGTGCACGATCAGGCGCTCGTCGATGACGCCGCCCAGCTCCCTCGGCAGCATGCGGCAGGTGCCGGCGATGTGGAAGCAGGACACCGTCCGCCCTCGCACAATCTCCTTGGCCACTTCCAGGTCGTCGCCGGTCGCGTCCGGGAGGCGCTTGAGCGCCGGGTCGATCATGTCCTTGTACGGAGCCGTGTTCACGATCTTCTCGACGAACCCGACGGTGCGCGCGAGGATCTCCAGGTCGAGGGGGTGGGTGCAGTAGTTCGGGTTCCAGGTCGGCGGGTCCGACGCGTCCCTGGAGGAAATGTGCACGGAGCCCCGGGAGAAGGGGTGGTTGAGCAGGGCCATGATGCCGACGCAGTCGTACGGGGCGTGGGACGTGAACATGTCCGTCAGCGTATCGGGGTGCGTCGTCACCGTGAGGGAGCCCGGGAAACACAGGTATTGGATGGCGGGTTCCTCCTCGGTCTCGAGCATCTCGCGGATCAGCTTGAACTCGCGCCTCTGCACGGGGTTCAGCGCAGGTCCGCTGGTGAGATAATTGTCGAAGAGGGCCTTGCGGTCGGCCTGGGTCATGACGCCGCCGCGGTCCGCCAGAGGTACGTAAGCGACGCTCGTGCCCATGCCGGCTAGCGGGCCCTGTCTCGTCGATGCGTACTGCTCGAAAGCGCTTTTGAACTTGGCTGGCTCGCGGAGCCCGTCGGCGGATGGGTAGCCCTCCTTCACCGGGAATTGCTGCGACGTCATGAGATGATCCTGCATGTGCTCGCCGACGTTAGGGTTGTCGATCAAGACATCGATGCCGAGACTTTCGAGGAGATCGCGATCGCCGATGCCGGACAACTCCAGCAGCTGTGGTGTTCTGATGGTGCCCGCGGCTAGAACCACTTCCTTGCCGGCCGTGATCGTGCTGACCTTACCTTCTTTGTCCTTCACCTCTACACCAGTTGCGACGACCAAGCCGTCGCGGGTCGCAGTCGTGATTTTCTGCACTATTGTCTCCGTCAGCACCTTGAGGTTCGGCCGTTTGGCGATTTCCTCCGTGTAGTACGCCGTCACGGCCGAGCTACGAGTATTCGTGCCGCTCGAGATAGTCGACGAGTTTTGGAATGCGCCGACGGCCTTGCCGGTTCGAGGGTCCGTCTTCATCTCCAGGCCCAGCTCGGCGAATGTCTTGAACCACTTCTCGTTCAAGACTGTGTACTGATCGTCAAAGGAGAGTTGGATGGGCCCGTCGCCCGCCAGGTCTTCCTGGTAGTAGCTCAGACCTCCCAGGGTCTTGCGGATCGCCTCGCTCGGGGGATGCGACGTGGAAAACTTCCGGAAGTAGGGCGCGAGGTCATCGAATGTCCACCCTTTGTTGCCCATCTTGGCCCACGTGTCCAGGTTCGTCCGCGAGGGGAACATTGCCATCATGAAATTGGTCAACGAACTGCCGCCGAGGACCTTGCCGGTGTCCTGCCGGAGATGGCGGCCGTTTAACTCGGCCTGGAAGCCATGGGAATGTCAGTGACCCGGGACTGCATCTCTCGAAGTGCTCAAAAGCACGAGGAGTCCGTACCTGTGGTGTCGACTTGAATGGCCAGATGAAGCGATCGTCCGAATAGGCGCCGGCGACCAGACCCGGGGTCTCGAGAGCGGGATCGCTTCTCTTGTCGGCTCCGGCCTCGATGACCAGAACGCGGACGTCGGCATCTTCGGTCAGGCGGGCTGCCACCACCAGCCCGGATGTCCCACCACCGACGACGATGTAGTCAAACGATTCGCTCATTTCTCTTCAGTGGCGGGCGCGTCTCAACGACAGTGATTGACCCCGATTCAACGGGTTCGGCATGAAATTAAAGAGAGGAGATCGAAGAGAGACTCGGGAAGGCTCGAGCAGGGGAACCTACCTACTCTTTGTGCTAGAGGGACTCCGGTGTTTACTGTACTACTAAGGTAAGCTGACATGATGTTGGCGAGGGATTGTTAGTGGAGGCAAGGCAAGACAATTACACATCACCTCCGGTTACAGACCAGGGATAGACAAACATCGATCCATGACCTTGTATAATCTCGATAAGCAGGTGATGTAGCTCTATTTATATATATATATGTCTGCTACCTTGGTACTTTCCTTGCCATCCTTGCTACGAGATCGGTCACTCGCAGCACAACTGAAGTTATAGGGTTAGGGAAATGATTGACCCCAATATCTTCAGGGTCTCGCGGAACCAGAGAGTCAGCACCTAAGATTTCTGATGCCGATGCTGATGCTGACGCTGACGCTGACATGGTGGCGCATAGGTTTTTACCAAGAAAACGTATGAGGGGGCATGAGGGGTAACATTGCAAACATTCGATCCATCCCGCAGTGGGCCCCTATTCTAGGCCAGACATGATACGTGCTGGATACCTGTAATTCGGGCAGCCCGGACCGAGTAGTGTGAAGTCAGATCTTTGTGTAAATAAGTATATAAGCGTGTCTAATTTACACTACACGTAAGATAGGTATAGCTATCTAGTTAGTTAGCATGTCGCAGTAAATCAACTTCATCGAGTACGGTTGATGTCCCATTTGTGAAGTCTAATTCTAAGTGATTATTGCAACTGCACTGCGACGCACTATTTCAGGCGTCAAAGCCACTAAGCGCCCGTCATAGCCCTAGTTACTCCTTACCTACAGCGATTGTTCTGTCTTTGAAAGTCGAGTCGCTTTAGTCGACTGGGTGAGGATATATTGGACAGGATGCTTATGGAATTTATTACCTAGCCAACTAAAAGCATGTTTAGCTAAGATATGGTAGGTATATCCTGCCCGGGAGGTAGTCGACTCTACAATTTATCCCCTCCTAGTGTTTCGTTACTTCGATAACTAAAGAATTATATATGAGTATTTTGGATGCCAGACGCAGATTTTCCATACCAAGTATACATGTACTTCCTAGAAAGACGAAGTATTGTGACCTTTGAGGATCTAGACGTGTTTCCTCAAATGGGTATTCAAGTAATACATTGAGTCTTCAGACGAGCCAGCCCAATGAAGATATCGCTCTGGAAAAATCTCCGTCTTCCCACGTGAATGAGGTAAAAGATACAAAACACCTAGATACCTTTCCCCCGCGTATCCCCCTGCCTCCGCTTCTTCGTGGTCAGCTGCTTCGTGCAACGATCGACAACATCGTTATCGTCCTCCTGTTGCTTTCGCTTGTTGCCCTCCTCGGGCATCTGGGCCAAGGCCCATTCCACCAGACGGAGTTGGCGGGTTTCGGCTGCTTTCGCAACTTTACATGCCCGCGCCGTCCGCATGAGCCGGTCGATGAGCTTCCCCTCCTGTCTAGCGGAGTGCTTCGTGTGCGGCAAGTTGCCGTCTGCTATAGGTTAGGCATAAAATGCGAGCAACTCTTCTCTTGTCTCGCCAGGTCTTAGAATACCCGATTCGGAATCTCCTCCCATACTTTCTCGTGCCACTCCTGGGCGGCTTCGACAGACCTAGCGTGCTTATCGAGCCATCAGTACTCTATCCACGTCAGCCGCTCGTCCTGCCGCCGGAGATCCTCGTCGAACCGGAACACCTCCGTGAAACCGTGGTCGCGGAGCCGGCGGCGCGCGGCCGCAACATAGCCCTTAAAGTCACCGGCGGTTTCCTTTATCGTGCTATGCTTCCGTTGCTCGTCCGCCCACATCTGCCGAATAGTCTCGTCAAGGCCCGGTGTGGCCGCCAGTTGCGCGAGATCCATGGACACGTAGTCGCGCTGCTTGCGCTGCCGGAACGCCTTCAGCGTATCCTCCGGCGCGCCGCCGCCCCGATTATCGCGCTGCCATCTCCGGAACTGCCGCCAGCGCGCTATTGGGCGCGAGTACACGCCTAGATCGTCCGCCGAAGAGACCGGGCCGCCCGCGAGCCACGGTTCCACCCTGTCGACGTACTGAGCGTGGTAGAAGTAGATCTCGTCCAGCAGCTCCAGCGCCACGGGCGGACGGCCGCCGTCGTTTACTAGCTCGTTCGTGGTAACACCGGATCTGGTAGGCCTAGCTGGCGTCCGGCTCGGACGACCGCGTTCGTGACCTTGCGGGCTGCTGGGACAGTGAGAACGACGAAGGCGGCGCAGTTTCGCGCGAGAATGGATCCCTTGTGGCAGCTATGCTGTCGAGCTTGGTGAAGAGCTGGTCAATATCGATAGGCTGGGGCACCTGAACCCGAGCACTGACGGAGCTGCATCGGGCAAGAAGCATTAGCAATCGAGGAGCAGGGCGCGTAGATGTGCTAGTAGCTCTAAGCAGCAAGCAGGTAAGAAGTTGGGAGAAGGGAAGGCAACAGTATGGCACCTTGTTCTAGGTACCTACCTAGGTAGGTAGTCTAGGTACTTAGTAGGTAGTAGCCTGGAAGAGCTGCGGACTTAAGAGCAATGCAAGCCCGGCGTTAGGGAACGCACGCACAGCCGAGACCTTATGCGGCTTGTAACGAGCCCCGTC